TTTATTTTAATTATATTTTTATTATAAATATATATATATATATATATATATATATATATATATATATATATATATATATATATATATATATATATATATACTACTCTGTGTAAAAAGTATCGGGAATATGTCAATAAAAAAGACCTTTTACTGCATGTTGGTAGCACTGTACTGATTTAGCGCGCAAAGTTTGAGCGGGATCTGTCATTTAATTTGTTTTAAACTACACTTTTTGTTGGTCATAGTTTTGAGTTCTCGGCGATTTTTACAATGGAAAATATTGTTGAACAAAGAGTGTGCCTTAAATTTTGTGTTTCGAATGATATTTCATGTGGTGAATCACTAAAAATGTTGCGAAATACCTACGGCGAATCGTGTATATCGAAAACAAGGGCTTATGAATGGTATAAGGCTTTTAAAGAAGGCCGAGAAGTAGTAGTAGACTTGCCTCGTTCTGGTAGACCTTCAACCGCTACGACCAAAGAAAACATCGACAAAATCAAGAAGCTAGTGCTCGAAAATCGACGTATGGGTCTGAGAGAGTTGGCTAGTGAGGTGAACATATCTTTTAAGTCCGTCCACAACATTCTCATTGACATTTTAAGCATGAAACGCGTCGCCGCTCGACTAGTTCCAAAAGAGCTCAATTTTGTTCAAAGAGCGCAGCGAAAGCATGTCGCTGAAGACATGGTTTCCCGAGCTTCTACGGATCCGACCTTTATGAAACGTATAATAACTGGCGACGAGACATGGGTTTATGAGTACGACATGCAAACAAGCCAACAGTCTTCAGAATGGCGTCTCGAAAACGAGCCGAAACCCAAAAAACCTCCACAATCAAGGTGATGCTGACAGTTTTTTTTTTACTACCGTGGTGTGGTTCACTCCGAATTCCTTCCAAAGGGAGAAACAATGAATAAAGAATATTATTTAAGAGTCATGAAGCGTTTGCGTGAGAGTATCCACCGAAAACGTCCAGATTTGTGGCAACACAACTCATGGATGCTGCACCATGATAATGCACCATCACACACAGCCATTATAGTGAAAGAGTTTTAGCGAAAAATTCAACAAAACTTCTTGACCAAGCACCGTATTCACCTGATATGGCTCCGTCTGACTTTTTTTTATTTCCCAAGTTAAAATTACCACTTCGAGGAAAACGTTTTGAGTCGATAGAAGCCATAACAAAAAATTCGCTTAATGAGCTAAAGGCCATACCGCAAATAGCCTATGAAAAATGTATGGAAGACTGGGTGAAGCGTTGGAGATGTTGTATTGCAAGCGATGGGGCCTACTTTGAAGGCGATAAAATAAATTTTGATGAATAATTTGTATTTTTTGTTTTATTGACAAATTCCCGATATTTGGTACACAGAAGGTATATATGTTTTTTACATGGAGTTCACGTATACTGATTGTGCTTGCGGAAGTACACGGTAACTGGTTTCGGAGGTGAAGACGAATGCAATCCAGGGGGCCAATAGAAAATCAGCGTTAGGTTTCCAACCTGACATCACGCTGAATTGGTTCCTATCTTTTGGCATCACCCTGAGGCACTAGTTTTAAGAATATATATTATTATAAATTTTTTTCCTAATTTTAACTGGCTGTTTGTTTGTTCATAAATTGTTACTTTTTTTCGTTTTGACTTTGTTTCTGTGTTCTGGTGCCTTGTGTGTGTCAAAAATAAATATTTTTTCTTTCTTTCTTTACATAGTAATCGTATAAGAGGTATTCAATTTATTTATTTTAAAGGATAGGGGGGAGGAAACGAGCATGCGGCTCACCTGATGGTAAGTGACCACAACACCTGGGGCATTGCAGATGCGTTGCCTTTAAAAAAAGAGTAGGCTCTTTTCTTGAAAGTTCCAAGTTGTATCGGTCCAGAAAATTCTCTGGTGGTAGTATAATATTAATAAATTCTTAATTACTGTAGGTACATAATATATTCTATTACTATACCAGTAAGTTTGTGATAAGTTAAAGATATAAGTGGCTGGAATTTACTATAATAATATGAAGTACGCCATTAGGAAGTAATATGTTGAGAATATTTTCATAGACGAAACAAGTAAAATAGCTATATAGCTAAACCTGGCTCACAACGCACAAGGTAAGTAGCATGTGGAGTAGGCAGTTAACCGAAATTAATCCTGTAGTCAATTCTAGGAATTGGTTAATCGTAGTTGCACCTTGCATTCGTTGCATATGAAGCAACTAGGACTCTGAGACGAAGCGCTTCTAGCTCAAATGTAGAAAGCTGTTAAAACTCTTGCAGATATAACTAAAAATTTTGTTATCGCTGGTCCGGTCCACAAGCAATGCAGTAGGAATGCTACTTTTTTGTACTGTGCACACTGCAGCACCGCGCAAGCTCCAAAAGCATACTAATAGCATATTGCATTATACACATTATTAAGGTATAAGGCAGAAGTTGCAATTAAAAATCTTTCATTAAAAAGAGGTTCCAATACAGTCTGAACTATGCTGTAATTATTTCATCTCATCTCTATATGCTTACCTGTTTGTAATACTTTTTTCAGGTACATTGATTAAAGAAGTACAGATACAAAAATGAAGAATATAATAAACAAATTCCAGATTTTAAAAAACCAAATAAAACATCAAAAAAATCAAATAAAAGCAGTAGAAAAAATGTCGAAGACGAAACTATTTCAAAAGGTTTTGAAAACATTATCGAAGCATGCTCAGAAATTGCTAAATATGCAATTAACTCAGCATAATAAAAGAGGTCGTGGAAGGCATTTTAATATTGAAGAAAAATTATTAGCTTTGTCACTTTATAAAAGAAGTATCAAAGGCTATAATTTTCTAAGAAAATTATTTACCTTACCCTCAAAGAGGACATTGCAGGATGTACTTAAAAAATAACTTTGAAAGCAGGTCTAAACCCAGTAATATTCCGTCAAATAAAAGATGCAGCACAAAAATTTTATACGGAAGAACACTTATCGCGTATACTTCGATAATTACTATACATCTTTGCCCCTAATGTATCATTTAGCCTCTGAAGGAATCCATTCTTTAGGAACTATACAGCGAAATTGTTTGGGGAAAAGTTATAAATTTCCTGATAAAAAGACGTAATGAAAAGTTCTACACCTCGAGGAACATATGAAGAATATGTCACCAATTTTGATAATGTGGACATATCTGCAGTTTCATGGAAGGACAATAAACAAGTTATCCTGGCATCCAATTACGTAGGTGCAGAAAATTTAAACGAAAATTCGAAATTACTTGCCCCAAAATCATAAAAGAGTATAATGCACATAAAGGCGGTGTCGACTTGATGGATTCTCACCTTGGTAGGTATAGGATTGATATCAAAAGCATATTATAGCATAGATCGGACCATAAACAATAATTAAAAAAGCTGAAGGTACTCCGGGTTTAACAATGACATCGGGACGTCAGTCATCTCAGTCCCCCGTGACCATGGGTGCTGGAAAGCGCCCGAAACGTCGGGAATTAAAAATAAGAAGTAAAAATAAACGCGATAAAATCCGTAAAAGTAGTTTTAATCATAATCGATCCTGGCGCATCGTCGTCCTTAAAGGATTTTTATCCTTTTCAACTGCGAAAAAGAACGCTATCCAGAACAATTTGTTATCATTAATGATAAAAATATTCTGAAGCAGATTTCCAAATTAGGGAAGACTGTTTGAAATTGATCATTCACAACGATCTTGTAAAAATCAGTGAAATTCTTAGTTTTCCTACTTCATACTTTCTTACTTTGTTCTTTTTCTATTTTCAAACGAACGTACTGGTGAAATTGTTGTAATTCATCAGCAAGATTTGAATTTAAATCATCAGGATACGATGCGACAAGCGATTCAACCTAGGCAAACAACTCATTGTAGGTTAAATCCATTTTTAATAAAAACGAAAACTTGCTGCCAGCTTTTCGTAAACCTCGCCTCTCGTTTTTATCTCGACTTGAAAAGTGTCGACGATGAAATAAAAAGTCGAAACGCGAAATATGTCCCTCGCAGATAAAACAGCATCTACAGCTGGACCATCATTGACTTGTACTCTTCGAGTAAGTCTTCGGTTACCATTTCTCCGATAATCACCGTCGGGCAAAATTCCTTTGGACTTGTTCTCGAATTCGTCAAATCTTTCTCTGAGATTTTGTAAATAAAAAGCCAATGTTTTATACAAATCACTACAAACTTGCAAATCAAGTTCTGCATTTTGAAGGGCTTGTTATGTCCGATGAAATTGATGCAAAATATCATTCCACATCGTAACCATGAAAACAAACTCAAACTCTTGCATTTTTTTTTTTTGCAATATTCATTGCTTCTTGTCTAATTTCCCCTTTTTTATCCATATCTTCCGAAATAGAATCTAACGAGTCGAGAATTTGAGGATATGATTTTAAAATTGCATCTGTGACAACAGCGTGTGCTTTTCACCGCATGTTTCAGAGTTTCTTCAAAACTTTTTCATCATTGATATGATCCTTTAGTACTTTCCATCTTTGTGTAGAAGCAGAAAAAATACGTAGTGTTTGCCCCAACGAAAAAAAGTTGACAGCCTCGAAACAACAATCGACTGCACTACGACCGACAAGATTCAATGAATGTGCTGCACACGCAATGTATATTGTATATGCATATCTACTGTAATCGCTGCTACGGCTGTAGTTCACTGGTAAGCCTTGTCTTCAAGGAATGGGAGTTGCTTAGCTGTGAGCAATTTCACTTCTTATAGGGGCTACACACAATCACTTTTAACTGTCAGTTTTGACTGACCAGTTTTAACTGAGTGTGTGAACGATGAAAACTGTCAGTTTTTTTATTATCAGTTAAAACTGATGATATATTGTTGATACATATTTTTTAACTGAAATGACAGAACTGATCAGTTAAAACTGTACGTGTGTAGGCGGTGTTTCTTCAGTCGTGTTGCGATCACGAAAAAGAAACTGGTCTGTACATGTTTATTCTCTTCGCATACGCAGAAAAATGACGCAAAGACTGTGGTTGGCCGAGTTTATAGAATTATATAGGAATGAACCTTGCTTATGGCAGAATAAAAGTAAGGAGTACCATGACCGAGAAAGGCAATCAGCAGCTTACAAGGTATTATTAGAAAAAATTAAAGAAATTGACTCTACGGCAACTATAGATACAGTGAAAAGTAAAATTAACACACTGCGTTGCACGTTCAAAAAAGAAGTTTTGAAAGTCAAATCGTCACAAAGATCAGGATCTGGCAAAGATGATATTTATATACCAAAGTTATGGTATTACGATTTACTACAATTTCTCACCGACCAAGAAGTACCACGATCCTCAAGATCAAATATTTCCAAGGATGACGAAGAAACAAATGACGTGAGTAAATAAATACTATTATTGTTTATTTTATAATTTAGTTTATTGATATTAGACTATTATAAAAACATTAACGAATAAAATTATCCTGCCATGGAACTTGTCCTTCATTCACGAAATAGTTCATAAAATCTTCCCTCGTTTTCTTGGCTGCATTTTTTATATTTCCTTGGTGTCTTCCATCCTAATCTATCATGTCCGAATCTGCACTCCCTGTATAATTGTTCCGTTATCAAAAAATTCCTTTATTTTATAATTTAGTTTATTGATATTAGACTATTATAAAAACATTAACGAATAAAATTATCCTGCCATGGAACTTGTCCTTCATTCCCTTGTTTTCTTGGCTGCATTTTTTATACTTCCTTGGTGTCTTCTATCTAAATCTATCATCTCCGAATCTGCCGAAGTCACTCCCTGTATAATTGTTCCGTTATCAAAAAATTCCCTATCAAGAATTTCAGGAGGACTGTAATTGGCTTGGTTTGTTTCAGTTAAGTAATTGTGTAGAGCACAACATGCCATTACAACGGAATCAATATTTTTTGGTTCGATGTTTATTTCTGTGTGAAATATACGGAACCGAGACGCTAAAATCCCAAAAGCATTCTCAACAATTCTCCTTGCTCTTGATACTCTATAATTGTATATTTTTTCTCATAAGTATTAAGATCTGCTTGTCTAAATGGTTTAATCATGTCTGTTCTCAATGGAAACGCATCATCAGCAACAAATACGTAAGGTAAACTTCTGTTGCTATTTTTGACTAGTTCGGGATGTTTAATTTACTGTCTTGAAGTTTTTCGAAAAATACAGTGTTTCGTAATACTCCACCATGTGAAATTCTTCCATTTGTGCCAAAATCACACAAAATGAACTTGTATTGAGCATCCACAATAGACATTAAAACCATGCTATGTCGGTTTTTATAATTATAAAATTCTGATCCACATCCAGGGGGTAAAGCAATTGAAACATGCTTTCCATCTATTGCTCCTAAGCAATGTGGAAAGTTCCATCTCTTCTCAAACTTTTCAGCAACATTTTTCCAATCTTCTTCCGTATTGGGAAACTGAAAATAAAACATTATATATTATTATATTATTAATTGTGTATGTATTATTGTTACAGAATGAAGACCTAGACTCTAGACCAGGTTCATCTTTGGCTTCAAACCACTCTAAATCTGACACAGGAAATTCAGCATCATCGTCGGCACCACCTCACCATCCGAGACCGACAAAAAGGAATCTCAATCAAACTTTAACCAATGAGGTTTTATTAACTGTACAGGATCATTTTAACCGTCCTGTACAGCGGGATGATCGTTTCGATATTTTTGGGAAAAACGTGGCAATGAAGTTGAAGTTGCGTGATCTTCCTAAAGAACAGCGCATTTTAGCGGAAGGTATTATAAACGAAGCTCTATTCTTAGCTGAAATGGATAAATTGACTATTGACCACAAAATATCGGATCGAGCAACAATACAACAAATAAATTCTAACACTGCAGAATCACAGAGCATACTTCAGCCATACCTTTTAGACAACAATACAGGAGCGGTACAAATTTCAATCCCTGAAATATCTATACCTTTACAAGAAGTAAACACTGCGGCTTCATTTTTATCTCAGTACATGCAAAATGAATCGTAGGCCTCTAAACCGCATTCAGTTTAATTTTTTTAAGTCATCTCTTGATAATTTTCTTAATAATAAATAATAAAAGCAATTATTAAATGTTCTAAGTTTTCTTACCCTTAAAAAATCTGGACAAAGTACTTTGAATAAAGCCTCACATGTGTCTGGTTTTATGCTGCTGAGGGCTTGAGGTGAAATAATTGTGGAAAACTTTAAATCTTCATAGCTTCGTCCTGTTGCTAGAAATCGTAACGTTGCTGTTAATCTCTCATGTGGCGAAATAGCATTTCTCATAACTGTATCCTTTCTTCTAATCAGTGGAGACACTAGAGATAGTAGATTGAGGTATATTTCTTCACTCATTCTGAGATAGTTGTGCCAATCCTTCGAAACAATTTTTAGTTCGGTTAATAAATTAACATGGGAATAAATTTTCCTTTTTTTTTTTAACCACTCTTTACACCACTCTTTGCGTATATTTTTTATTTCTATTTTTTAAAATCATTAATAAACCAAGCACGGCTAAAGCGTCGTCGTCGGCTGATGATATCTTGAGATGATAATGTTGTTTGTGGTCAAAGAGAACAGTAAAAACTGAACGTGTGTGGGTGCAAAGGACGTCAGTTTTAACTGCCAGTTAAAACTGGTTAGTCAAAACTGACAGTTAAAAGTGATCATGTGTAGCCCCTATTATAGGCGAAGTAAGTAGTAATATATGTAGCAGTGAATAAGACAAGCCCAATAAAGAAAAATTTATGTGTTACTCATATACTTTCACTCCTATTACAGGTTTACGTGCAGAAACATTAGGAATTGAAACCACGCCATGTATACCGGATGTACTTTCTTCACAAATTCCTACTACAGGTTCACATAGTAATCGTATAAGAGGTATTCAATTTATTTATTTTAAAGGATAGGGGGGAGGAAACGAGCATGCGGCTCACCTGATGGTAAGTGACTACAGCCGCCCATGAAGGACCACAACACCTGGGGCATTGCAGATGCGTTGCCAGCCTTTAAAAAAAGAGTAGGCTCTTTTCTTGAAAGTCCCAAGTTGTATCGTATAATTCATATCATATAATTAAAAATCTTTCATTAAATAGAGGTTCCAATACAATCTGAACTATGACACCATAGTTCAGATTGTATTGGAACCTCTTTTTAAACGGTTTTATTTAGCTCACCCCGTTTGTTTTATTTATTATTCTTGGGTCAAATTTAGTAATTCAAATTTCACCCTCTTCCTGTCAACCGATTAATCTGAAATTTTGTATACACTTTGGATTTTGGTGACAATACAATTATGTTTATTCATTATCATTATAAATTCAAGATGGCCGCCGCTACAAAATGGCGGATAATTTATGTTTTATTAATCCCATCAATATGGGTATCAAATGAAAGGGCTCAACAAGCAGAATACAATATAATATAAAAAATTGAAATACAAGATGGCGGCCGCTACAAAATGGCGGATAACGTAGGTTTTATCGATCCCATCAATATGGGTATCAAATGAGAAGTCTCAACAAGTAGAATACAATTTACTATGCAAAATTGAAATCTAAGGTGGCCGCCGCTACCAAATGGCTGATAACAATTTTTTATCAATCCCACCAATATGGGTATCAAATAAAAGGGCTTGACAAGAAGAATACAGTGCACTATACAACCTCAATATTTAAGATGGGCGCAGCCACCAAATGGCGTATAATAATAAGATTTAAATTTAGAAATTGAATCTGTAATTTAGGTATCTGATTAATCCAGCCTGAATCCACCACCCAAGTCAAGATTTTGTATCGTGTTGAGGACTGTGTGGCGTTAGAGTGGCTAAAAATGATACGTCGTTAGCGGTACACCACCCAAGTTAAGGTGAAAGGTTAAAACGCGCCGAGAACTGTATGGCATTAGGGTGGATAAAAATGATACGTCGTTAGCGTTTTCCCCTCAAGACTCAGGCGCATCTTGTTGTACATAGCCTTGTCCCTTTATTGGACCTCTGGGGGGTCGACCGTTTAAATGTCCATTACTCGTGGGAACAAAATGATAAAAAAAAATATTAAAAATACAAACACAAATAACAGAAACTGCAACACAACGTAAACGAAGGCTTCAAAAAGCGAAAGAAAAGTATAAAGCAAAACGAGCTAAAGAAAGTGAAGGTGATAGAAATAGTCGATTACAGAAACGACGCGAACAATTAGCGTCAAAAACACCTGAGCAATATGAGGCCAGGTTAAAAAAGCAACGTCAGCGATATACACATAGCGTCAGAAACGCCTAAAGAATATGAAGCCAGGTTAACAAAGCAACGTGAGCGATACACACAGATGATAGCGTCAGAAACGCCTGAAGAATATGAAGCCAGGTTAACAAAACAACGGGAGCGATAGACACATATGGTATCCTCAGAAACGCCTGAAGAATATGAAGTTAGATTAATACAAAGCCGTGAAAGACAAAGACAGCAGTTGAGGGTTCAGAAACGCCTGAACATCGCGATACGAGGTTAAATAAACAACGAGAGCGTACCCAGCAATGCAGAGCTAATAATCTGCAGGCATTCGAGAATGCTATTAACACAATTTGTATACATGTTTGTGATATTTGTACCAAACGTTGTTATCCTAATCAAGTTCGTACAGTTCGCTACAACGCTGCTGCATTAACATACTTACCTGTGGAGTTAACTTCGAAAATATCATTGTTATTATGTTCCCGCTGTCAAACACATGTTACTAGTAATAAAACAACAGCACCACCAAAAGCTTACTGGAATAATCTGGATCCAGGTTCTATACCAGACGTTATTCAAACATTGACACAGGCGGAACAACGTTTGCTGTGCAGAATAATTCCCTTTGTTAAAATCGTGAAATTTAGTGGCCTCTATGGGCAGTACGGTTTTCGCGGACAGGCAGTTTTATTTGCCCAAGATATCTTTGAAGTCAGTGAAAGACTGCCTAGTATGCTACCAAGATCTGCAAGCCAGGTAGGCATTATTGTAGTAACCGAACGATTAGAAAATTTGAACATCACCAGGGAATTCACAATATGTCGCGAAAAAGTTTAAGACTTTAGTGCTTTAAGATGGTTAATCAGAAATAACCCGCTTTACAAAGATGTACGTATTGACGACAATGCCCAAATTAGTGACCAGGAGTTAGTACGACTTAGTGTGCCCGAATTGTCTGAAGATGAAGCGTCCGAAAGGAATGAAAATGAAATTCGAAATGCATTCATTCCAATTAATAATGTTGCAAGAATTATTCGAGCTTCATGGCATCAAGGTGACTACAAAGTCTTTACTTCGCGATATGCTGGTGTACAATGTAGTGCTATGTCGTTGGCGAACATTGTCCGAGCTGCACTCCTAAGCCCTAATCAATGGGACGTCAATATTCTGAATGCTAATATGTTAGCGGGTGACTCCTTATATTGCTGGATTCGTACCCAGCTTGATCCTACTGAACTGGATGAAACAGGATATTTAGAGATACGAAACTTTCATATCGTCAGGCAAAGTTTACAAATGTATGAATGCCGATTTTCTACAGAATATGATGAAGACACTCTTTTATTCGGGAGTCTCCAAGATTCTGTAAATACCAATAATATCGGCATTACATTACATACAGCTTTAAATAGATTATTTGATAGTCATTCTTCAGGAATATTGACAGCGTCAAATAAATCTGTTAGCGTATTTCGCGGTGAAGACAAATACTATTTTGCTGACTCCCATTCTTGTGGCCCAAAAAGAAAACCAACACCAGAAAATGGCAAAGCCTGTGTTATAGAATGCGACAACTTACAAGAACTGTGCCGCATCTGTAAAAGATGCCTCGGATCCCGTAATATCGCGTACACCCTTACACGCGTAGACGTACATTTGAGGGAAAATATTATCACTCGTCAGGGTGTTCAAGTACAGCAACAGGAAGATGCCATCACTCATCAGGATGTACAAGTACAACAACCGCTTTCGAATCTGAGATCTGAAACTATACCTATACAAACATCTGTAATGTTGCCTATTGATAGCGTCCAACCTGATGTTGAAGATGAGCTAGAGGTATCTGAAAATGTAAACGAAATCAGAAGAAAGACGAATAATAATATTGTGAATGAAGCTTATGAGTTAAAAGCAGAAGAGTTCGCATGGTATCAGCTCCCGCTTTCCCGTATGGTAAAAATGGTTTGAAAGAACAACGGCCCGTAAATATAAGTCCTTTGGATTACTATCAATTTCGTTTATTAGGTGCTGATGTTAGATTTCAGCGCAACGATTACCTATTCTATGCTCTATCAATGTTTGAGTACTATCGAGTTAAATCAACCATTGCAGCTTGTGTTAGAAAAGTTGAAGGTGAAAACTGCAATCGAGTGGAAGACCTGCACTTATATTTAAAAAATCTAAGAGGTTCCGCTGCTTATTGGCGTAGTGCTCTTAGTGATCTTATAGCACAAATCAGATGTTTAGGACCTCCCACTTATTTTGTTACATTGAGCTGCAATGATCTTCACTGGAAGGATATGAAAAGAGGTCTCCTTGTTAGTGATGGTAAACAGCACATTGACCCAGATGACATAGATATTCAGGAAACTCAGAGACTCATCGAGATGTATCCAGTTGTTGTGAGTAGACATTTTATGGTACGTGTTAATGCGCTAATGCAGTTTCTTAAAACTGATACTGAAATATTTGGCGGTAAAGTTAAAGATCATTGGTGGCGAATCGAGTTTCAGAACAGAGGAAGTCCTCATTTGCATATGGTTGTTTGGATCGAAGATCACCCGTCTGTTGCGACACCTGAAGGAATAGCTCGCATTGATTCAGTCTGTAGTACTGCCATTCCTCCAGAAACTTCAGAACTATATGAATTAGTTAAAAATTGTCAAATACATCGACACACTAGTACCTGCACGAAAAATAATTCTGTTTGACGTTTCAACTTTCCACGCTCGGAATGCTTAGAGACACATGTTATTGATCCTTCATCTAACGAATTCATCTACAACGGTGGTCGCATTTGCGTTCTGAAAAGAAAAAGTGAAGATGGTTGGGTAAATAATTACAGTCCTGCTTTCCTAAAAATGTGGAAAGCCAATATGGATATACAACCGTGTGGTACAAATGAGTCGATTGCGTATTACATCGCTAAATACGTGTCAAAATCAGAACCTACAAACCTAGATGGTGAAGTATCTCGAGCTATTCAACAAATTAGAAGAGAAGAAACTGACGTCTCGCGTAAGCTGTTTAAAATATGCATGCGCATATTAAGAGAACTTCAAGTTTCAGCCTGCGAATGCGTATTCAGGCTATGCCATTTGAGTATGAGTGACAGCTCGAGAAAAACAATTTTTGTCAATACTCGTAAAGCGGAACAAAGGTATAAAGTGTGTATAAAGTGTGACACCATGAGTGCTGTAAAGCGTTCGAAACGTCGGGTATTTAAAAAGTTAAAATATACGCGATAAATTCCGTAAAAACTAGTATTATTTCAATGTGTAGTGTTCGCGTAAATATAAGAAATCATTAAGGTACAAAGTGTTGAAGTTTAATGTAGCTGGTCAAGCAGCAGGATATTGTGCCAATATTTTCGAACGATATGAAAAGCGACCAGCAGAGCATCCCAACTATGATTTTAACAATATGTGTCTCATAGAATTTGCGATGTTATTTGAGCCACACTACATAAAACCGCCAGTTATAAATGAAGAGAGCATCGATACCGATGCTTATGCACCGCACGAGCAAACAACAAGAAGGCGTCTTATAACTTTAACAGACAACACCAAAATGACTATTAGAAACACGCCAGCTGTAGTACGGGTACCTAACTTCGTAGCAGCTTCTGATCCAGAGTCATATTATTACAGTTTACTAATCCAGTATATGCCGTATCGCAATGAGGCCGAACTTTTAGGAGAATTTAATAGTGCCAGAGATGCGTTTCTCGCCAACGAAGAAAGTTTAAGACAAACAAACGCCTACTTGGAAATATATCGTGAACGTGACAGGCAGCTTGAAAATGCATTCGCGCAAGTACACGCATTTCAGATACTGGAACACGCAGAGCCGATGGAACTAGACCATGAAGAAGAAGTTCCTTATTTGGAAATATATCGTGAACGTGACAGGTAGCTTGAAAATGCATTCGCGCAAGTACACGCATTTCAGATACTGGAACACGCAGAGCCGATGGAACTAGACCATGAAGAAGAAGTTCCTTATTTGGAAATATATCGTGAACGTGACAGGCAGCTTGAAAATGCATTCGCGCAAGTACACGCATTTCAGATACTGGAACACGCAGAGCCGGTGGAAGTAGACCATGAAGAAGAAGTTCCTTATTTGCCAATGAATGAAGACCAGTTCTTACAGGCTAAGCAGTCTATGAATGCAGGACAAAAGGAAATTTTTACATTAGTTACCCAGTCCATACAAAATCAAATGTCAGGTGCTGAAGAACGTTTAAAAATATTCTTTACAGGAGGAGCTGGTGTGGGCAAGACTTTTCTATTAAAGTTATTACGAGACCAAATTAATAGGTGTTACGCAAAGGATACGGTTAAAGTCTGCTCACTAACAGGAGTTGCAGCTAGATTAATAAATGGAGCTACGATACACAGTACTTTAAATTGCCTGTACAGAAAGACGGTCGCATAACAAGTATGTCACCACTGTCCGGAAACTATTTGCGAATAATGAGGCAACAATGGCATCAGACAGAATTTTTGATTGTCGACGAGATTTCCATGGTGTCTTATCAAATGTTATGCATGATGGACGCTCGATTAAGGCAAATTAAGAACTGCGAAAATGAGTTTTTTGGAGGAGTAAACGTATTACTTTTCGGTGATCTTTTACAACTGCCTCCTATAAAACGATCAGGAACACCTGTTTTCAAACAGCCAGAACATCTCCAACCAGCTACACATCTCTGGCGTTTATTCACGCTGTGTGAATTAACTGAAAATATGCGTCAGCAAGGTGACCAGACTTTTATTGATATTTTGAATGCTTTGAGAGTCGGTGAGCTAACAACCCAACATTTTAGTATTTTAATGGGAAGACTTCTTCAAGACACGAGTGATGAGTTTGCAATAGACAAAGCGTTAAGGGTATACCCCACAAATCAACAAGTTAACGACCACAACTCTGCTGTATTGAATTTGTACAGAAATAATGGTGCTCGCATTTACAAAATAAAAGCGCAGGATCAGCTAGTACACGCCACACGAAATGCAGACAATGTGGATATAGCTACTATAATACCAGCTGATATCAACAAAACTGGGGGTTTACCAGCGGAACTGCAAATATTTGTGGGGGCAAAAGTCATGCTACGGTCCAATATTGACGTTTCAAAGGGATTAGTAAATGGCGCTATAGGCTACATCAACGAAATCGTTTGGTCTCAATTTCGTCGAACTCAGATGTATGCAACAGATGTACCTTCCGTCCGAATTGATTTCGCATGAGACGGAGTACATCTTATACACCCGAAAGCCATACAGTTTCCAGCTAAGTACAATTACGGGACGGCTGAAAGAAGAATGTTGTCTTTAATACTATCATGGGCTTCTACAATACATAAAATGCAGGGCAGCACTGTGGATCACGCAGTCGTATACTTAGGTGCGAAACTGTTTGAAGAAGGTCAATCCTACGTGGCTCTTAGTAGAGTAAGATCTTTGCAGGGACTACGTATAGAGGAGTTGGACTGCAATAAACTAACGGGCAAGAAACCTTGCAATAATGAAGCACTAAATGAATTAAACAGAATGCGAAATAAAAACTAAAAACTAGAAAATAAAAATAGGTAAAAAAACTTTTTAAGTTAAACGGTTTTATGTTAAACATACATTGCAATGTTTAAGATAAATGTACTAAAAACCAAAAAAATAATAAAATAGATACAGTCGTGGGAATTATAAACATATGCATAGACTAGACTAAAATAAAACCGTGGGGCACGTCAATTGTCTACAATCGTTGATTAAAATGTTTGTTTTGTAATGTTACACTATAATTAGGCAGTTGTTCAACCGACAACGATGGACGTGTGATAAGTAGGACTAGAATGTGGAAACAAGCTAGCAAGCTCGATTATAAGCGAGTTTTAGGGTTTCATAGTGGTGAGCGAGTAGTACTTTTATATCATATGTTTTGTCGATTAAAGACAAACTACGAGCAGTGAAACGATTCCTCGCCAGCCAGCAGTGTGAATGTCCAACGATAAACTAGTTGAAACATCTCTTTTATTTACATAGAGTGTATAACTATTGGAATTTCCATGAGCAAGAAAATAGTAAGTAATTTCCTCACCGTCTGCGGGCCAACTGCCTATTTTAACGACGAATTAAACGATTCTTCTATCGCACATTAAGTCGATAATTTGTAGACAATTGACGTGCCCCACGGTTTTATTTTAGTCTAGTCTATGCATATGTTTATAATTCCCACGACTGTATCTATTTTATTATTTTTTGGTTTTTAGTACATTTATCTTAAACATTGCAATGTATGTTTAACATAAAACCGTTTAACTTAAAAAGTTTTTTTACCTATTTTTATTTATTACTCTATTTCATCTGATCTCTATATGCTTACCTGTTTGTTACTTTTTTCAGGTACATTGATTAAAAGAAGTACAGATAGAAAAATGAAGAGAATAATAAACAAAATCCAGATTTTAAAAAACCAAATAAAACATCAAAAAATCAAATAAAAGCAGTAGAAAAAATGTCGAAGACGAAACTATTTCAAAAGGTTTTGAAAACATTATCAAAGCATGCTCAGAAATTGCTAAATATGCAATTAACTCGGCATCATAAAAGATGTCGTGGAAGGCATTTTAATATTGAAGAAAAATTATTAGCTTTGTCAATTTATAAAAGAAGTCCCAAAGGCTATAATTTTCTAAGAAAATTATTTACTTTACCTCCAAAAAGAGGACATTGCAGGATGTACGTAAAAAATAACTTCGAAAGCAGGTCTAGGTAAACCCAGTAATATTCCGACAAATAAAGGATGCAGCACAAAAATTTAATACGGAAGAACACTTATCGTATATTTCGATAATTATTATACATCTTTGCCCCTAATGTATCATTTAGCCTCTGAAGGAATCCATTTTTTAGGAACTATACAGCTAAATCGTTAGGAGAAAAGTTGTAAATTGCCTGATAAAAAGACGTAATGAAAAGTTCTACACCTCGAGGAACATATGAAGAATATGTCACCAATTTTGATAATGTGGACATATCTGCAGTTTCATGGAAGGACAATAAACAAGTTGTCCTGGCATCCACTTACGTAGGTGCAGAACCTGCCGAAACAATCAATAGGTATGACAATTTTTTTTAACGAAAATTCGAAATTACTTGCCCGAAAATCATAAAAGAGTATAATGCACATATAGGCGGTGGCGACTTGATGGTTTCTCACCTTGGTAGGTACAGGGTTCATATCAAAAGCCGAAAATGGTTTATGAGAATATTTTACCATCTGTTGGACCTAACCATCATATGCCTGGAGTCTTTCCAGAAAAGTAATGGGTAAAAGGGGGAAAGCCAGCAATCATGAATCTTGCAGACTCGTTCTGAATTAGCAGACGCTAGTTCAGAACTAAAGTCGCTACGCTACGCTTTCCATTTGTACTGTGGTAAAACACCTGTGAAAGTGCAAAGCACCACTTGATACCTGTTTTGAAATACCGCGACTGAATACCTTCATAGGTCATTAGGTTGAAAAATCGGTGTGATTTGTGACGTCATGCTATTCCTCATTACTCACTAATCACTAGTAGACACTCTACACGACACTATGTAAGAAATCTTGATTCCGCCATAACATCATTAACATTTTGGTATCGGAAGTGACAACATCGAATTACCCCGCTCATTAGTGTTATCAGTGAACTAATTGTTCACTATATTTATGCCCGGTCAATTCTGGGAAAATACCATTGTGTTTGTTGTTTATAAAAGAGTTAGAAGTTTAAGTTATGTGCAACATTTACCATCATTTTAATTTTATTTTACTTATACTGCTGGTGCTACGACTGGCATAAAAATAGTATTAATTTGGAAGCGAAAAAGCGGTGTTATCCTTTCGAAGTACGAATAAAGAACCATCGGCCAAAGTTAATTTACAATCTTTGTTCGATCATACGACTACTCGGATACTTGAATACCAAAAAGAAGTATTAAGAACAATCTCTCCAAATTCTAGTAAAGATTTTTTATTAATAGGTAAGTGGGATTTTGACGGTAGCACGGGACAAAGTGAATAAACAAAGTTTTTTGGATTCCATTATGGAGGATGGAATTTTTTTTGTTACTTTATATGTTTCTCTACAGTTAGTTTGTAAATCTCACTTCAGATCCTGATCGTATAATATGGAAAAATCCTCGCTCTTAATCTACGAGACCTATTTATTCGATTTCAATTTTCCAAAGAAACTAAAGAGCTTTCTGTCCAAGAAGAAGCTTACATCACAATCCAAATCAGCAACTTGCAATCAACGGTCTTTTTTTTAATAACTGGGAAATAAGAGTACAGCATTTTTACAACTGACCTTGGTTGATGGTAAAGGATGTTGTGCTCTTAGTGAAAGATTTTCTATGAGATGTTACATCCTTGGTGCAACACCTAAGCATATGAACGACATTCGAAGTGGCAGGCGCGTTCCGATGAAGACAAGGCCCTTATTGCACAGAAAACCAACTTATTAAACAGCAATTCAGGGATCAATTGGGTTTAAAAGTGGACAAACCGCGTAGTGAAGGAAGTGGCACCTCTGATGATGGAAATACGGCGCGTAAGTTTTTTTTTGAAATCTGCAATTTCAGCTGAAATTACAGGGACTGATCGACACATGTTATCATTTGTTTCAATGTCTATCGTGTTACAAAATTACTGCAAATAAATTTAAAGAATAAATAAATAAATTTAAAGAATACGCTCTACAAACTGCTGCGAAGCTTGTTCAAACGTATCCTTGGTATAATTTACCAGCTTCTGTGCAAGATTTGATTCACGGGTTTAAGGCGATTGACTATGCTCTTTTATCAATAGGTGAACTGTCTGAAGCTGCAGAGTCATCCAATAAGAATATTAAATTGTTTACCTTTATTTAATTATACCTTTTACACGGACTTCTATTAAGTTCTGATCATTTTTATCAAGTTTGAGAAAATTGCCACGTAAAAAAAATCTTTATTACCTAGAGGGGTGTTGTATATGTTAGATATATAAGTTAAAATAAATAAATAAAATCTATAAATTGATTAAAACTACTTTTACGGATTTTATCGCATTTTATTTTTAATACCCGACGTTTCGGGTGCTTTCCAGCACCCATGGTCACGGGTCACGGTCAAAATATAAGAAATCATTACAAAATCTATAAGTTTAAATTTAGTATTTAGTATGTAGCATTTAATAGTAACTTTTTCATCGCTTTTTTATTCTTATGTTCTTTTTTATACGAATAAACGTCTGTTTATAAAAAATATACTGTCTTTTAGTAGTAAATTACTTCAACTGTCACCTAAATATACTTTTGTTTACATTAGCGCACAGTATCAACAGTAATTCTTAGATTGACTTCCAATGACCTTATTATTCCTATTTTTAGAGCGCAGGACCACTGTGCAGCGGTATCGATAAAGAAAGTACACTGCCCTGCAAGACTTTCCATCTCATCAACCAGCAGTTGCCTAGCATTGTTTAGCGCATTTCGTCACAGCATCAACTGGAAGAGTTACCACGACGTCAAAACAAACTGGTTCGAAAGCGTTGCATAGGATGCTATGCAAATCTGAAAGCACAAGGTGCGCAAACAATCCGAGCATAGCAAGTACACATGCAGTGTAAACAGTGTCAAAAGGCTTTCTGTCTTTACTGTTTAATAAATAACATGTTGATTGACTACAATGTGCTCAAATACATGTTTTATATATAAAAACGGTTTTTTTTTGTTTTTATATTGAAAATACTTTTTAATTAACACATCAACAGTTTCCCATACAAAAAAATACTATTCTTTTTTGGGTTTAGGTTATTCACATAGTTTCCTACAAGTTCAGAAACTGATACAAAATATGTCATATTACGTTCATAGAGAAAAATGCACTTGAAGTTATATAGAGAAATGAGTCGCATGTGATTCATAGACTTATTCGTGGCACACTCGCACAAAGAATTATAAAGTTACCTGTATTTCATTACATCGCACCCCTAGATAATAAAAGCGGCCAAGAGCGTGTCGGGCCACGCTCAGTGTAGGGTTCCGTAGTTTCCCGTCATCACAATAAGTGTTCCCACTTATCAGTTTAAAGGTGGGTATCCATTAGTAGTTAGTTAGTCCATTAGTAATTAGTAGTGGGTACTGTTGTTTCCATCCAAGTTCAAAATGATTTTCCTAGAAAGTCCTAATAAAGTTCTACTTTTCAGATTTTTTTCATATTTTCTAAACTTATGGTTCAAAAGTTAGAGGGGGGACACATTGTTTTTTACTTTTGGAGCGATTATTTCCGAAATTATTGACATTATCAAAAAATGATTTTAGTAAACCCCTATTCATTTTTAAATACCTTTCCAACAATATATCACACGTTAGGGTTGAAATTAAAAAAAAATCACTTCCCACTTTACATATAGGGGGGCTACCCTAATAAAACATTTTTTTACAATTTTTATTGTATCACTTTGTCGGCGTAATTGATACACATATTGGTACCGAATTTCAGCTTTCTAGTGCTAACGGTCACAGAGGTTAAGCGAGGACGGACAGACGGACAGACAGACATGGCGAAACTATAAGGGTTCCATGTTGACTACGGAACCCTAAAAACCCCACTAACTCAAAGAGTACAAGTTTCGAGTTAGTGGCTTTATCTAATTCCTGACTCGAATACCTATACATCAATATAACTCGCGTAACTATACCTTCAACCGCTGTTAAAAGCTGCTTTACTTAAATGACCTTACCCTGAAAGGCGCGAGCACTATAGTTCATAAAAGATAGCTTGATCTCTGCGACAGCTGTCAGTAAAATCACGCCTATGAAGTTCTGAATTTCTTAGTAGTACAGACACACAGTACCTGTCAATATCATACTTTATGGGCATGCCGACCTAATTAGTACATAGGCGTGATTTTTACTGACAGCTGTCGCAGAGATCAAGCTATCTTTTATGAACTATAGTCCGCCATTTTTAGTTGTGTTCTGGCATATACCTATTATACTCCTGTATATACTTATTATACTCTTTGGGTTGGCGTAAGGGACACGTTTGAACAGTGGCAGATTTTGAGTTGCAGTAGTTTACACGAAATTTATTGAGTAAGTTTTCTTATTTATTTTGAGTTGATTGAATTTTGCTGAAAATTAATTGTAAAAAGTAATAGTTAATTTTGATTTACGGGGGATTTGATGATTATAAGATGCAATATTGTTTTTAATATTTCGAGTTCCATAGATTTACATGGAAGTAAAGGTAAATTTCGATTTACCGTAGTTTTGCTGAATCTAACTTTAACGTTTATTTTTGCTTGTTCAGTGAAATATCGAGCCTTTTCAGGAAGAACATCGTAAGCGCCAAAATTCCCAAAAAACGGTTTTAATTACTAACCGCCAGATCAACTGATTTTGAATCTTTTTGTCACTTACTTGAGTTCAAAGTAGAAATGGTAATTAACTTTTTTTAATTACGAAATTTTCATCGTAAGTTACAACCCATTCAATTTTTTTTAACGTAACCTCCACCGACTGACAGATCGTTAGTATAGTACCTGTCGCTTACGATATAATATTAGGTTAATAATTTTATTGCAAACATCCTACTTGGCACTTACGATAATAAATTATGCAACGTAAGTGAAATACTTGTCGCTTGCGATAGAAATAAAATGCGTTTTGCGTTTAGTTGTTCCTGAACTGTAACATTATAATAGTGTAATAAATTAAAATATGAATGCCATTAACTTTGGTAACTATAGTAGAAAACTTACCTTGACTTTAGGTTAGTAATAGAAATAACGAAACTGCTTATTATTTTATGTTTAAAAGCTCCGATCAAAGAAATAGTTTAAAAGAATCAACCTAATAGTTTAATAGTGAATCAAAACGCACTTGTAGAAGTAGTGTAGCATCAAGACAGGTTTCAACGTGTTTTAAATTTGAAGATTTTCGTCACTGTGTTATACCTTCTTCACTTACGTTACGAATATTTTGAAAATTAACTATTCCTAATGTGTATTTGCTTAAACTGAGTGTTCAAGTAAAAAAACACGTATTATCGAACGACAAGGTAAGTGAAACATGAAACTAAATTACCTACTTGAATCGTGTGATGTGAACAAAAATAATTAGGTGGGCGGTATTTTAGCACTAGAGACTTAAGTAAAATAATATAGGTACTAATTATTTTTCTGGGTTTGATTAAATGCATTGACTTCATAAATAAGTTAAATTACCTACTGGATGTTATTAAGTTTGATGACAAGTTGTATCATTTCAATTAAATACGTTAGGAATGGTTATGCCTAAATCTTAAATTTCCTTCACAGTTTTTTTTTCTTTTTTCGTGCTTTAACTTTTGTTTGGGTGGCGGTGATTTGGATTTGTATAGCGTTTTTATTTCGCTTCCAGAAAATTGAGGAGATGGCTGAACTTATACCATCCAATGCTTTAGTTGACTACTCTGATTCTACACATTGCTCGTCTACCGACCAAAACTCTGAAGTAGAAAAGGATTTTACTGGATGTGACTCTGACCAGTCTTGGCATATTCCTATCAGAAGAAAAAAGAAAAGGCTAGTATTTACAAGTATGGACGACTACACTTGCCCATCCACGTCTGCTATTCAAATTCCTACGACGATAATTGAAAGTTCGGACTCAACCAAAGAAAGTTCTGATAGCACAGAAGAGGAAGACTCAGGTATCGTTGGTAAAAAAGGGTATGCGGAAGAAACGACCACTACCGTAAAAACTAAAAGAAAGGTCTGAGAGGTGGTCTGGAAAAGGAAAATCTGTCAAAGCTAATCCCTGCTTAGGCAAAAAATGCGGGAATGACTGCGCTAATAAGTTTACTGAAATCGAGAGAAACTGCGTCCATGAACTCTATTGGGGTCTTGGATCCTTACAAAGACGAAGAGATTTTATTTTATCTTGTATTAAGAAATGTGAAATCGGTCGAAAAAGAGCAGAAAGTGATCGTCGAAAAATAAGTTACAATTATTACTTACCAAAGGGCACTGAATCGGTTAAAATTTGTCAACAGTTTCTTTTGAAAACCCTTGATATTTCGCAAATGACACTGCGTTACACTAAATCACATAAAATTGCAAGTTTTTTGTCAAAACCTGACCAACGCGGCAAACGAACGCCTTTAAATAAATACAGTCAATCTCAAACTCAAAACGTCAATAATTTTATAAAAAAGTTACCTGCCGTTCAATCACACTATTGCAGAAACAAAAGTAACAAATTGTAAGGTAGGTGCGCCTAAAAAGGGCCGGTTCCAAATAAGGTCCATCTTTTCAAACTTCTCCTACTTAATACTTAAAACAAAACGGATACCACGCGGCCCCTTCCCAGTAACCAATCACAAAAGCGCACCGACGTTTATTGTTTTCGCGGTGACCATTTTGTCAGTGGCTCTGTGTTTAACCCCAGGGGCGGTCGACGTGACTCAATTTATAAAATATTGTGACTCAATTTTGCGTTGTTTTAATTATAAAACCCGGTCGTTTTGTAATAATTCTGCAATAGTAGTGTAAAATACTTTCAGAACGTGGATTGACAGGGTAAGTTATCAAAATTATTGCTTTTTTATCTCGATTTTGTTTTAGTTTTCTCAGTGCATATCTAAGTGCCTAACAAGGTCCACTTGTTATCTCCAAAGAAGGGGTACGAAGCCCCTTATTAGGGGTACGAAGTTTTAAAATAGACATTTTTTTATGTTATTAGGAAACTCAATGACATATTTTTAACAAACATACTTAAAAATATGTATTACTATATACACTTAGCGAATAACAGAGTTTCACAACATGCTGGATAACACTTAGGGATTTAGGGCAACTGGTTTGTACCCCTGGGATCCGAGTTCAATCCCCGAAGAAGCCTTTGCGCCATCCATGCTCACTGAATTAACTGCTACGCAACTCTCTACTAAGGAAAATTCTGTAACTGTACCAAATTCTCCTGAATCTGTTAAACTTTTAAATCGTACCTTTGACTCAGATATTACATTTTTTGAAGATGGCTCTACAGCTCAAAATTCAGTAGCAACAATAAAGCAACTCCAAAACAAAGATGTTAATTTCCAGAAATTAGTTGACTATAGCTCTTCTATAGAATCTTTAGACTCGGATGATATACATGTCCCTATTCGATACAATACACCTGTACCTGGTCCTTCAGGGTTACAAGTTCAACATGTTCAACGTCCAGCTACACTCTTGTCTTCTCCATCAGATATATCCGACATTGAATACAATCTTTCAATGATGCAAAACTATTCAGCAAAAGGTGTTAGAATATATACCTCTTCTTCCGCATCTGATGAAGAAAATAATAACCCTCTCCAAACATATTTTACACCGAAAAAGAACCAGCTTGATTCATTTGATGATGACATGCCACTATCAGAACTTAAAAATAATAAAAAACGATCTGATATTCAAGAGTCAAGTTTTAAAGAATTTCTTCCAACTCCCAATTATGCTGAAACGAAGGCTAAGCCAAGACGAAAAGCATTAAATTACGTTGGGCAGAGAATAACTAAAGATTTATTTAAAGACAAGACAGGCAATAATGCAAAAAACTCTGCCAAACAGACCAAAAATTACAACAATAATATTAAAGGTCAAAAAGGAAAGGCAAGAGAAAAATCATCTAAAATTCTAGACTAAACCAGATAAAACAAAAACTAAACAAATTAAGACTGAATTTAACTTAGGGTTTCACTTACAAAAGAAAGATAAATGTGATCAATGTGAGAGAATACGGAATTTAAATGATGAAGAAAGAAAAAAAGCGATAGAATCAGATGCTTACAAGAATCACATTAAGGACAAAGAAACATCATTAAAGCTATTTCTAGAGGATCAAAAAAGAAGCAAAGACAACAGAAACTTTTTGTGTGCAAGCTTTGATCTTGAAAAAGGTCTTAACAACACCTCGCGGTCAAAGTGTAAATTTCTACTATACTCGAAAGCTTGCCTATTATAATGAAAGCATTTATGAAAGCGGTACCAGATCTGTATTTTGTTACCTTTGGAACGAAACGGAAGCGAAAAGAGGGTGTAATGAAATCTGTACTATTATCTTCAAATACCTTAAAATGGTTGACGAGAGAAGGACCCAAAATGAAGTTGCATTATACTGTGACAGTTGCGCAGGACAAAATAAAAATAAAGCCATGATTGTAATGCTCTATTATTTCATGCAATATCATGCGAGTTTTGTTGAAAGGCTGACTATAAACTCATTCCTGGACATACCATGATGCCAGTAGACTCTGTGCATGCAACAATAGAAGGATTTATACAGAAAAGAACTATTTACGCACCATCTGAATGGCAAACTTTGATTGGAAATGCTCGGACAAATCCCAAAAAATATGAGACAATTCTTTTAAAAAATAATGAAATTAAAGATTGGAATTCCTATGCAATAGCCTTTTTACCAAACAAAATTAAAATACAAACAAGCAAGCTGCGTAACGCTAGATTTGAAAAAGGCGACAAGTTCTATCTTAAATACGACTATGATGGACCCGAACAAGCTATTGATGTGTCTCTTATATTGAGGTCTCGGCAGAATCAACAAGCTATTCGTGAACCTAAAACTGCTTACACTGAAAAACTTCCCATCTCGAAGGCGAAATACGAAGATTTAAAGAAAATGTGCGAAAAGGGTATCATACCAGAATTTTATACAAAAGAATATCTGGATTTGCCCTGCGATAGAAACACAAGAGACGCTTTACCTGAGACTGATGAAGACGAGGACTGATGACTCTTTTTGTATTTCATTTTATTAATAAAGCTCAAATTCACTTAGAAGTACCTACAATTTTTTTTTTACTTTTTTGTATTTACTCTTTGTACTTTACTCTGCCTGGCATGGTATCTCGTAAAAACAGTTAAAAAAAAAACAAAAAATAATAATATTATTTTAGAAATATTATATAATAGAAATATTATTTCTACTATTTTATGATATTTAAGAATTATCGTAATCGACATACTCATATCAGCTCTACATAATAACGGTCATCAGTTTTAACGTAAGCGACAAATGTATGTGATTTTATAGCACTAAGTCAAATCTTAACATTTGAATTAATAGGGAGGTGCCCATATAACACCAAGTAAATATTTCAAATTGATGCTGTAAATAATTTGAGAAATATTTAAAAAAAACGTTCTCCTGTAAAATATGCAAAATGGCGGTTACGATCTTCTTCCTGAAAAGGCTCGATATGTACTTTTTATAGAGAAAATAGGTTGTTTATAATAGGTTCAATTATTATTTTTATTTGTTATACACTAAATAAACATAGTACATGCTTTTGAGTGGTTTTTTGAGTTGGTTGACTTTACTTGATTCATTATTGAATTTGAACATTATTTATTTTTGGGATAATGACAAGGCGAGGAAAACTCATGGTACAAATTATTAACGAAGAAAAAGAGGATGCTGAGCAACCAGCAGCAACGGATGATTCAAGACCTATTCAATTTCCTGGTATAGAAACCCTCAATAATATAAACGAGTTAGTTCCATCACAGAGCATTTTAGAATCTTCGTTGAATCTTAATGAGCAGCCTACAAACGCTGAGGGACAACGACGAGTTCCTAAACGTCAACGCCGTAGATCCTCACTATGAAAACCCTATTCCCAAAAGAAAAATAATTATCTCTCCCTTGCGTAACTCGCCTATTTTACACATGCCACGAACTCGCTCCCTTTCATCTTCGTCTAGCGGTTCGAGTTTATCAAGCTCGAGTAGTAGCTCCAGCAATAGCTCTAACAGCAGCAGTAGTAAATCATCGAATAAATAGGACGATACTGGCAATAATTGCGAGACTCAACGCAAACATTATAACAATGCCAAGAATAACTACGAGGATCACAATCTGGGTCAAAATATTAATCCAAGCGATGAGACTCTAACGCAAGATGGACCAAAACAGTGTAAAAAGAAACTATGGCACCCGGAGACATGGAAGGTCAATATAGCTAAAGCCCTCAAAAATTCAGGCAAGTCTTACAAGTCGAGGGGTAAACTTAAAAAAAGAAATCCCTGCTCGCAAAATTCGACCACCTCGCAGAGAAAAGTGTCGTTTGAAATATAGTACAACTAATATATATATAAATATAGTACAAACTTAACAACTCGTCAAAAATGGTTTGAAGCATTTTGGAAACTCGGTGATTTTCAGCGGCAGAGGGAGTACATTGTACGACATACTCATGAAATAAAGCCCAAGTACCGACACTCAAGCACGGAAAACTTCCGGGCTCTAAATACGGCCCTCTATTTTGAAGAAAATAATTCGCGCATTCGTGTTTGCAAGACCTTTTTTAAGGTGACGCTTGATTTAGGTGATCATGTAATTAAAACAGTGTTAACCAAAAAGACGGAAGCAGGGTTTATAGATGGAGAGTACAGAGGAAAACGTAAAAATCATCCTATGATGTATCCTGTAGTTAAAGAGAGCATTGTTCAATTGATCAACTCAATTCCTCGGGTTGAATCGCACTATCTTCGAGCGCAGACTACTCGCGAACACATTCAAAGCGAAAGATCATTAGCAGATATTTACCGAGACTATAAAAGCTTACGCCAAGCTAATGACCTGCCATTGCTATCGAATCAACATTTCAACGCATATTCAACTATCAATTCAACATTGACTTTTTTAGCCCTAAAAAGGACTTGTTACTGTGAGAGCTACAAAAATGCGGATAATGAAAAAAATTTACATTGCAGCAAGCCTACGAACAGCGTCTATTTGAGAAAGACCTAGCGCGAAGTGAGAAAAAAAGGGACAAGAAAGAATCAGATGCTATAGTAGTCGTTTATGATCTCCAGACAGTAATGCCAATTCCTAAAGGTCAAGTGTCTCTGTTCTTTTACAAGTCTAGAATAAATTGTTTTAATTTTACTATTAGTGATTTGTATGCAAAAAATGTGGATTGTCTTTTCTGGGACGAAACTGAAGGAAAGCGTGGTTCAGTAGAAATCGGAAGCAGTGTTTTAGCTTTCATGGAAATGCTGCTCTATAATCATCCCACTGGAGACATAGATCTAATATTTTACTCAGACAACTGTTGCGAGCAACAAAAAAACAAGTCCTTGTTATCTGCTTATGCCTATGCTGTGTTCAATATGAGAGTGAAGTCTATCACTCATAAGTTTTTGATTAGAGGCCATTCGCAGAACGAAGAGGACAATGTTCACAGCGTTATAGAGAATCAGGTGAAAAGGCACATAAAACCAAGTCAAATGGCCTTTTTCTATAAAACGTCATTTGCAGAGACTGAATTTAAAAAATGCTGGGTGAACAAGAGAAAGACTAGACGCACAGTAGAATCAACACCTTGTAATACAACAAATTTGAGTTTGAGTAGAGCATACACAGAAAAAATTAGTTTGTCTGAAGCAAAAAATAAAGATATTAAAGAACTTGTAGACAAAGATGTGATTCCAAAGCCTTACTTGATATTCTTTACAAAAATGTTTTGTAATGACGTTACCATTACAATTTTTATAGTAGAAGTAGGTAGACTAGTTTCAATAAATAAACTGCGATTTACAATTTTAAGACTGTGGGGTAAGTAAAACTAAGATGAAAAAAAAATTATTAAAAAGTTTAAAAAACCCGACTGCGTAAAAATAACTATTAAGTTTAAATAAAAACTGAAAAGAAAAAAACAAGTTCAGGAGGCAGGAAATATTGACTGCAACAGTGGGGGACCCATAATGGATGTAATGATTTTGGTGTTGGGTCCTGACTTAACCTTATTTTAAGATTATTACGATAGCAGCGTAGAGATAAGAATACTCAAATTTATTATTGTTTAAGGGAGATAAAAGTTTTTGTTCATGTTATTGCTGTGATTAATAATTAAAAACGCATAATTATTAATTATTATATGTGTACAATCTCAACTTCGTTTAAATGATTCGTATCTAAGTAATAACTGTTATAAAAAGGACAATATTTTATAACACTAATTATTGTATTTCGTCTTTCTTTGTTATTCATTTACTAAATAAATAACTTTCTATTTGAGTACATATTATACTTATTTCAACTATTTTAGATCTATAAAAACTACGGCTTGTGTTCCTAAGATTAACATGTTGCAATCACCCGTTCATGGCATTAACGCAAAAGCCCTGAAAAAAGTTATCCTATTTTTAGGGTGAAAAGTAATGTAACTCAATTTTATTTCAGATGAAGTAAAGTAACTTGACTTAGTACACAAAAAATTTGCTTACTCCCACTGCAAAACTAGAGTAACTAAAAAATCTCATTATTTTCCAGGTTTTTAACTGACAAAATAAAAATAATCGAATTAAACAGCTTTAGAAAACATTACCTATATAAATGTCTCATTAGATATTTGATATGTTTCATAAATCCTCCAAAAAGTTTTTCGTCATTTCTGAAAAATGAGGTTTTTTGAGTTGCCGGGGTCTTCATCTAGGTGTGCGATATTAACTGTACTAAAACGCAAGAGATTATTTTTTATAGAATGTAGTTAACAAACGAGCACACAGTCCATGTGATGGTAAGTAGATGATGTGGCACCCCACGCTCCCTATACGAAACAGCAGCATTGAATTGCTATTTTACTCTGATATTCTATGAGAGCGTACTCCTTCCCCGGTCGGGCCGACCCATTCATACTACAACAATAATATAGTTGCAGCATTGCTCTACCACGTAGCAAAAACGATAAAAATATATTATGCTTTTACAGGCTATGCAACATGACAACACCAAGCCACCTGTCACGGTGAATACGGAAGGTTTGCTGAAGGAAGCATGCACCCGTCACAAAGAATGACTGGGTCAAAGTGGTGTAGAAAACAAAGAAAATCTTTAAAGACGACCATGAAAGAGACATTCATTTTGACTGCATTATTGTAATTAAATAACAATACATACTGCAGGTTAACATTGACACTTGGTTGACGTTTTGAATATCCACACTAAGCGCTACAAGTCATCATTCATAACGAGCACAGCCAAGAAGTTGGATGTCCTGTAGGCGTTTGCTTTTCCGAGTGTGTATAACCTGAACTTCTTCAAGGTGCGTGTGAACAGGCTTCTTCTGGGCAAAGTCGTTCCATCGTGGATCCTATCTTTGCAACGACAACACCAATTAAATGCATTAAAAGCGATTAAATAAGTTTTAAATCTAGTGATTAAAATAAATTAAATAATAATGATAAAATTATGCAATAAATATGAAGAAACTGATAAATTTTGTGGTACATTTTTCTGTTACTAACTTATTCTGGTAATAATCTAAATAAAACTGAATGATTAAGGAATCTATATCGATTTCTCTTATAAGTCGATAATTGTAGGTACCGATTTTTGGTCGACATTTTTTTATATAGAATAGGGTGACAAACGAGCACACAGTCCACCTGACGGTAAGTAGTTGCTGTGGCCTATAGACATATACATCTATCCTCGATTACGAATCAAAATGCAGATGCGTTGTCACCCGTGAGGACTAAGATGAAATGCCTCGTTGCCAGTAAAAAGGGTCTCCGGTTCTCTACACTCACCATACGAAACACAGTAGCATTAAGCTACTATTTGACGCTGGTATTCTGTGAGAGCGTGGTCCTTCCCCGGTCGAGCCGACTCATTCGTGCTGCAACTATACTACTAATATAACTGCAGCATGGCTCTACCACGTAATAAATCTGACAGTTGTCGAAAGGTATTTATCTTAGATTTGGTGTAGAACGAATATTGTACCCTATACTGCTTGAACGAGTGAAAGAGTTTAACCACTTATTAGTTATCTACCCTCACTTCAAACAATAGGCATTGATATCCTTCATCGTATCAACCCTGGCTGTGGTAAGATGTGAGAGGAAAACTGAAACCAGACATTGACAACAGCATCTTCTTGATAACTTAAAAATAATTTAAAAAGCCGTTGCCAACCCAGCCAAGCATGAAAACTATAGAAAATATCCACCCGATGAAGCAATCTACTAGGCAGACCCTATGTTCAGCAGTGGAATGAATGTACCGTATGTTAATCATTGGCTCATCTTTCAATTGTTACATAATAATTGTTTGTAGAGTAAAATAAAACAAACAAATTAAAAAAGTCGGTTGTATTAGTTTACATCTCTAATCAGTCAGCTAATCATTTACCGTGCTTTGTGGCATACCTTGGGGGAGGCCTATGTTCAGCAGTGGACTTGTGAAGGGCTTTAATGATGATGATGAATCATTTATTTAATGGATAACTTTTGAGATAGTAGAATCAGGCCTTAATGTGCGGTAATCTGTTATAATAAATATGTTAAAAATAATTTTTACTAAGATCCGCGTTATAATAGTAAAGTGATGTGACTAACCTAGAGATCCTATATATACTAGAAGAGTAGAAGATCCCGCACTCAAGAAGGGTTCCACCCGACAGAAGTCAACAAGTTGATAAGTAGATGTATAGTCACCTCTGAGGACTAAGCATGCCTTGTATCCAATAAAAATGCTCTCCGGTTCTCTATACTCAGCATACAAAACACATCAGCATTCAGCTGCTATTTTATGCTGATATTCTGTGAGAGCATATTCCTTCTCCGGTTGAGCAGGTGTACCTGCAGCATGGCTCTAGCAAGTGTAAAATTTCTCCCAGTTTTTATTTTTACTTTGAACGATTTCACTTCGCGTCGCACGGCCACATCCAGTGTATATGCTCTCTAAAGATTACTGATGACCTCCCAAATGCTGTAAATGGAGCCAGCCGCAAGGAAAAGCTCAGCAAACGGTGCTGATATATAGACACGACGATCCATCTTCGTTTTAACGTTTGAAATGTTTCTGTAAATGTCTGAATGCAATCCCGAAACTCAACTGCTCTTCGAGTTTACTCTATGTTTTATTCACCATACCATGTCTGGTTTACAATGGAACACTTGACCTCTTTCTTTTAGTACTAGTACTATTTCTATGTTCCGTATAGTACTAGGGTTAATGCCTAAGTAATTGCACTTCACTTTAACCACAGTCCTTATAGAAGTTGTTATCCATGATGATATGCCGTCAAATTGTAATAAATCAAATTTGCCTAGTAATGGTGCCGGTCAACCCAGATTAATGTATTCTGAATGACTTTTGTGTGAAGCCTTTTGCTTTTTGTCCAATGAGCAAGCGGAGAAGCTTCCTGTTGTCAATGAGCAGCTACACAACTTTACACAGAACTTTTACTTTCTTGTCTTATAGGAATGCACTAATATAATCTTCAAAATCAGATAATAACTCGTCCATTTCATCGGGCTCTTCACTAAATGGAATGCCGAGACGAGTCATTATTATAGATTTTAAGGCTTTTTTGAATTTATGACATGTTTGATTTTTCTCTGTTGGATTATGTTGCCTTATCATTCGAAATAAGTTTTCCAGCGCGTCTTGATTGAGTCGTCTCAAATTAAGATGATCACATCCTTTTGAGGCAACATACTCCCAGATACATTCTAGAGATTTTAATGTTATAATGTAGCTGTTAATACATCGAAATTTTAATTTTACTTCATGATCCAATTCTGAAAAAACTACGGTGTTTAGTAATTCTTTGTATTTTGACCAAAGTTGGTGGTGGGTACTGTTTCTGTGAACGTTTGTCCGTATATCCTTGTTCACATCATTTTCACCAGGTCCGTTGGTGCAGTCGAACAATTGATCAAGCTCTTCAATAACTTCAGCAGTCTGTAATAAAGCATTGCCTACTTCTTTTTCAAAGTCCTCAGACATCATTTTCAAAATATTAGCTGCCGTGTTGCTCAAAATCTGAGCAGCTATTTCTACTCTCAATTTAGCTTTATTGTTAGGAGCAATGTGCATTTTTGTTATTTTAGTATACCCCAGACGTTTGATCCGATTTCTTTCTTCGACCTTAACTAAATGAGACCACTGAGCTCTTTTGTTACTCAACATCATAACTCCAGCCTTGAGAAAGTTGTTCCTTATCGATTTAAAGAGATGCGGGACATCGAAAACTATATATATTTTTTCTTGGTTGAGCAAAAAGTAATTTTGATCTGGAGGAAGGCCACTTCTCTTTTTAAGTAAGTTTAATGCACCTACATTTCGGACACTGTGATCACAAACTGTAGTGATAACTTGAAATCCAATTGCATGGACAGTTTTGATAATGACATTTATTAAATTAACTAAATGTTCTGATGAAATTATACCACTAGTGAAATAGTAAGCTATAGGCTCTTCAATGTTTTCATAGATACTTTGCAGCATAAATACAAGAGCGTGGTCGGCAAAATCTCGAGATCGGCCACCATATTCACCTAAATCTTGAAAACCGTCTATTAAACCTGCAACGGGATCGTAATCTACATTACATTCTAGAGTCATTTCATCAAATAACAGAGCGCAATATTTTTCTTTTTCAGTCAACTGTTCAACTTTCTTTTTTAAGTGGTCTATAATAACTTGGTTAATGCCCGGCTCCATCAACATTTTTTCTGGCTGGTTTGAATAGTTGAATTGTATTGATGAGTTTTCATTTGCTGATGCTATAATTTCTTCTTCAGATGCAGGTGTAGCTGAAATTTAAAAAAAAAACAATACAAATACAAATTACCCAACGATTTACGAACTAACTATTAACAACCAAGTATTTTTGCACAAGGTTGTGCATTCTCATATAGATTGCCCAGTTACTGAGGCTAATTAACTTCAATTCGGGTATACGACAATGTGTTCAAAGAAATTTCAGGTTAGACGTACACAAGAATAACATTTCATTTTTCAATCCGGTTTCCTCCTGTTAAGCGTAGTAACATACATCTAGATATATTCGATAGTAGCCTTGTTAGATTTAAAAGAAATTTACATGTTTCTCTTAACATTTAATGTAGTTGTTACCTGTTTTATTTTTGCTAAGACTAAGATTCTACTGCATTTATATTATTATGCTGCGTACACTTTTTTGGATTGTTTTAGATCAACACCAATATACTTTTAATTTTAGACCTTTATACAACATGTTACAAAAACCCTGTGGTTGCCGTTAACTGCGTTATCAGAATCAGTATCAAGGCACACAGAAATATTTTTTAAAAACATTTAAAAAAATGAATTTTAATGAAAAAAAAAATTATAAATTGTATGTGGTTTTATTATCTCTGCATTGGCCGAGGAGTAAGAGGATTGACAAAGACCCTACCTCACCGATACTCGTGTGAGTTAGAGGAAATAAAACGAAAAAATATTTTTTAAATGTTTTCTTTTTTTTTTAAATATTTCTATACGCTTGGATACTGATTCTGATAACACACTTAACGGGAACCACAGGGTTTTTGTTACCTACATGTTGTATAACTACTGTCTGTTTGTATATCTTATTCAATAAAATAAAAAATAAATAAAAATTTTACTACATAATGTAAGTCTGCCTACTTACACGCCTTAGGGGCAATCTAGGGCGCACAGGTCGAACGGGACAATCTAGGAATTAAATACAGTAATTTTTATTCAATATAGATTACAAGAATACTTATTGAGTCATTTAAGCCGCTGCTTCGGAAAAACTGTTCTGGGAAGAACCAGCAAGGATCCCAGTGGGACTTTTTTTAAGAAATAAATTTACAACACATTTTATTTATTTTTTTAAATGTTTTGTAAATGCACTTTTGCGTGCAGTGATGCAATGAATGATTTGAAAAATGAAATTTTTTTAAATGCATTACGGTTGTCCCCTGTAATGTGAGAACAATTACATACATAATAAAGTTTCACAAGGACGAACTAAAATTACGTGTAAGCCATACAAATTCTCGTTCTATGCGGGATTCGAACATACAGCCCTCAGAGCGGCTCTCATTGCTAAGCCACTACGCCACAGAGCCTTCAATTTATACTTAAGGCTTCTCTAAACAAGCGCCTGCCATTCAATGTTACGAGTGAATGTGCTGCAGGATAAACATGTTACTTGAAAAATCAAAAAACCGACATAGCCTTGATAGTTTTCGTGGTACTAAGATAAAAAATAAATGTGTGGGTGAAGAATAGGTTCATTTTTATCTTTACACCCCATCAAAGCCCACTTCTGAACTGAGACCTCCTCCATAGATTGCCACGCTTAACAGTTCAGCAACCACGGTTTTTTTTTATTATTTTGAGTTATCAAAGTTGCTATCCATCTCCTGTGTCAGATTCCCTCTATCTTGATGTACAACATGAACTAGACCATGCGGGACTCCCACTCCTTCTCCACAATGTTCTACCACGTGAGCCCATACGTCATACCCTTCTTTAATCCATTTCCCTTTACACCGCGATGGATAACAAACAACACAAAACAAATAGCCCACTCCGCATGGCAGTCAACAACATACTGACAAAGAAATTGTCCCAATCACACTACTCACATAAATTGTTTCTGGGCTACAGGGACTGAACTAGGGAAACGGTTCAGGAAATTACTCCTGCTTGCTTATAATAATTATGTCCTGGCACAGCGGCAAATCTCAACGGAGACTAGCCATTTGTGCAGGGCAGCATTATAGTGGCCGAGTGTGTGCGCAAGCACAAGTGCATTTGTGCAGGGCAGCATTATAGTGGCCGAGTGTGTGCGCAAGCACAAGTGCATTTGTGCAGGGCAGCATTATAGTGGCCGAGTGTGTGCGCAAGCACAAGTGCATTTGTGCAGGGCAGCATTATAGTGGCCGAGTGTGTGCGCAAGCACAAGTGCATTTGTGCAGGGCAGCATTATAGTGGCCGAGTGTGTGCGCAAGCACAAGTGCATTTGTGCAGGGCAGCATTATAGTGGCCGAGTGTGTGCGCAAGCACAAGTGCATTTGTGCAGGGCAGCATTATAGTGGCCGAGTGTGTGCGCCAAGCACAGGTGCACTGGCTATTCCCTCAATCTCAAAGTACAATGGGACGGTAATTATACGTTTATACGTGGTAGAGCCATGCTGCAGTTACATTAGTAGCACGAATGGGTCGGCTCGACCGGGGAAGGACCACGCTCTCACACAATACCAGTGTAAAATAGTGGCTTAATGCTGCTGTGTTTCGTACGGTGAGTGTAGAGAACCGGAGACCCTTTTTACTGGAAACGAGGCATTCCATCGTAGCCCTCACGGGTGACAACGCATCTGCATTTTGATTTGAAATCGACGATAGATGTGGATGTATATGTGCCATAGCAACCACTTACCATCAGGTAGAATGTGTGCTTGTTTATCACCCTATCCTATAAAAAAAAAATCTGACACAACTGCAGACTGCAGTTCAGCACCAACACCTATAAGTGTTTTCCGAAGCACGAGTGTTAAACACCGTCAACTTTCTCAATCCAGGCTGCTACTTCCTTGTTAATTCCTAGACAGAAAACCTGATTTTGACATGACGCGAGATTTAAATCAGGGACGAATAAGGCAGTCGAAAGTGCTTGTATACAATTACTAAGGAGGCAATTTAGGGTTATCACCACATCTACACACTAAATTACCAGTGCAACAGGCATGTGAGTGGCTTAAGACTTAATATGTCAAGATTTTAGAAACTTACATTGATGAGTGACTGAAACTGTTGTTTCTGGCTCAGTGATCTGCTCACCATTATTAATTTCTGATGTTGATGTCGATGAAGGGCCTGCAATTGAAAACATATTGACATAAACACAAAGACATTTCAACATAGTAATCCAAACTGATGTTTAGCGATTTCTAATAGTTGTAGAATTATTAAACATGAAATTAAAAAATAATAATTTGATTTATTATTGATTCAAAATGTTTCAGAAGGTGCTTTATAGCACCCAGAATAGAATAGAATAATTTTTTATTTAATATAGATCACAAGTAATTCTTATTGAAAGTCAATATTTTACGTTACCACTGGTTCGAAAAAAAGCCTCTGTCCTGAGAAGAACCAGCAAGAAACCCAGCGGGACTTTTTAAAAAAAAATTGTCAAGGGTCACAAAATATTTACAAAATTTATTTTAGCAAGAGCTTGGAAGCGACCACCTCCAGGGGCTATTATCAACCATATATTCATTGATATATCATAATATAAATGAATACATACAAATACAACCCTTTTTATACGGTTTTTGTTTAGTTAAATATTTAAACTTGGTAATAGAGACCTTGTATATTGGTGGTTGTATATTGACCCATGGTCATTGCACCAGAAATAATGGGAATTAAAAATAAGTCAAATTAAACATGATAAAATCTGTAACATTAGTTTTTATTAAAGTTGTTGAAGATGGCTTGGAATGGCCTGTGGTCCAGTCGATCCATATATACCAGCAAACAATATACAGCTAAAGCATGGCTCTATCAAATGAATAATATGTCTCTACCCTCTCATGCTGCTCAGTGTTATTTAGTGTGACAGCAGCACTCCACACAACTGCAAGAACACCTAGTATCCAAAGTTGTACTTAAGTAATCACTTATTATACCCTTACCATTACCTACGATGTGCTAACTTGTTGATATCAAAATGCATTTTAAGTATAATTTAATAAACATTTAGTAAAAAAAATGCCAACAGTCCATTGCTTGACAAATATGTCTACCCTTTTGCTGGATTTATAAAAGATTGTACAACATGAGTATTTGCGTATTTTAAATAATAGGAAACTAGACATGACAGATAGATGGTTTAGGTGAAATATTGCTACAAATCATCGCTAAAAAATAACCAACCACATATCATTATCAATACAAATATGTTGCCAAAGGGCCAAAATTCCCAGGATTTAACGACACAATTCCTAAGGTTTACAATTTTAAATGGAGTATTTCCTATGTTGTACGTTTTACTGGATCATTATTGAAATCAAGTGAATGAAGACTAGATTAGAATTATTTAAAATATCAGTTTTCATACTGTTGAGAGTGCTGTTTTTATAGATGATTTTAATTTCAGATATTATGATGTTTTAAAAATGTTAAGCAAATAGATTGTATGTATTCAATACATCTATACCTGGTACTTTCAGTACTACAAAATAGGCAAAATGTGGTTATGAACAGAACTACAAAATAAATCAAATTTTTAAAAATAGTTGACAAATTTTCACAATAGTAAATATATTTGAATAATCTCAATATATTATAAAATCAATTGTTGTCAATTCTCACTAAAACTCGATAATGGCTCGACTGATGATGAAATTTTTGGTTTGTGTTTAAGGGGGTATATTGGTCCCACAAGGATTTTTCATGCATTATAAAAAGCTATATTAAATTGCTCAACATTCCCTCTCCAATTTATCGATCCCTTAGTAACCCACTTTACAATATCCCATACGAGGCTCTAATTTGCAATCCAGACATTATTCTAGATATTGGAATAGATAAAAGTACTATTGAAGCAAATAACAAATTAAATATGCTCCTCCTCCAAAATTGGCATGATGGTTATCTATGTACACTGATGCTTCAAAGTTAAATGACGATGGATTAGTAGGGTCTGCAGTGTGGATCCCTAAATACAGGCTTATTTTAAATTTTAACTCTCCCCCTGACTCATCTGTATTCACAGGTAAGGCTTTGGCTATTTTAGAGGCAGTTTCATATACAGAATCAAATGGTCTGAAAAAACCCTCATTTTCTCGGACTCCCTAAGTTGCCTTCAAAGTATTTTATCCAGTCCTTTTCACTCTAACATTGGATACCCGCTAATTTTAAATATTAGAAAGTCTCCGTACTATTGTCATAAAAAAGGACTGAACATTGTATTGGCTTGGATCCTTAGCCACTGCGTGATTCAGGGCAATGAAATTGCTGATAATTTAGCTAAAGATGCCATAAAATCTGGCTCTATCCCTAGACAATGCCTCTATGCACATGACCTCCTGCCAAAGGCCAACTTCTGATAAGTAATTTCAAGATAACCTTCTGTCTTCTTGGCAAAGTTATTGGCATCAGTCTAAATTTTTAAAATGTAATCAATATTCCAAAGTCCAAATTAATATCCCATCAAAACCCTGGTTCTTTCAATACCGCCACTTTAGTAAAGCTACCACCTCTACTGTTTGCCGCCTACGCTTTGGTCATGCTTGTACTCCTGTACACATGGCCAAACTCAGGATTAGGGATAGCTCAATCTGTGAATGTGGCCTAGATGAAGGATCTGTCAATCATCTGTTCTTTGAGTGTCCTAAACTTTCTTTCTCTCTCTACGATATCCTGCCCAATTACATCCCTCGTCCAGTAAATTTCCAATTTTTGCTAACCCTAGTGTATACTCCCTTCGTAAATATTTTATGTGCTTTTATTCGTAAAATTACTTAACAACTTTGTTGATGGTAGTTTAAATATGTGACGTCTTTTGTTGTAGATTGTGAACCCACTCATTAAATTAAGAACTCTTATTTTAACTATTATTATCTCGTCACTTCCATGACTGACTTGACACTGGCAGAATTCTATCAAGAGAAGCCATAATTTAATAGAAGAAGAAGAGTGGTGTTTTTATAGATGATTTTAATTTAAGATATTATGACATTTTAAAAATGTTAAGCAAATAGATTGTATGTATTCAATACATCTATACCTGGTACCTTCAGTACTACAAAATAGGCAAAATGTGGTTATGAACAGAACTACCAAATAAATCAAATTTTTAAAAATAGTTGACCAATTTTCACAATAGTAAATATATTTGAATAATCTCAATATATTATAAAATCAATTGCTGTCAATTCTCACTAAAACTCGATAATGGCTCGACTGATTTTAATGAAATTTTTGGTTTGTGTTTAAGTGGGTCCCTGGATGGCTTAGATTCACAATTGGACCCGGTAGATGGCGCTGTAGTCGAGATCCAGAAATCACCCGCGCAGCTGGGGTGGATAGCTAGTAAGTAATAAAAAAATCTTAGCACTATAGTGCGGGAAGTATGACTGTATGACATTTATTAAGTTTTAGATTTAGTTTTTTTAAGGTTTTTTTACATTTGAATGTTATGTAAATAAAGGAATTTAGGACATCAAAAATAAATAACAAGAGAGATAAGAAGATAAGAGTATGATAATATTCAGAAATAATGTATTTGCATACTTGCAAATAATATCCTGACATTAACATCTCTATATATATCTGAAATATGCTCACCAGTTATCAATAGTATCGAATGGTTCCCACAATATTTCCGCCTTAAAAAGGAGACAATCAATTTTTCTATGGAGAATGGGCCCACTACAAATTTTAAAGATTATCAATGAAATGCATGTCGATTTATTCCTTATAATCCATAGATTACAATAATATTATTAGTTTTACTGCATCTAAACGGAGTTCTGAGAAATTAACAAATAAAATGTGAATCTAACAATAACCTATAAACAAACTGAAAGCGATTTTCTAGTAGTATTCATCGGTATTATAAGTTAAAATAGTGCACACTTGAATAATAGTACATATAAAACTAAGCTGTAGGTATATTCAGCATTTATAAATATTTTAAAATCGATGTAAAACGTATCACTAGTTCCGGCAAAACATAGTGCCTGTCTATGCACAAAATGTCGTGTGGATTCTATTTTTGACATGTATTGATTGATTGTGAGTGTAATTCTAAATACCAAGATGGTTAAGGAATAATGTCTATTTATATTTAAGATATTACCAACACACAGTAAGAAATGTTTTAAACTGGTTGTATTACAAAAAACAAAATATAATGTCGGTAACTCTACTTATTATTGTAAATCATAATTTATTTAAGTATTCTATTAACAGTAGTAGGTACAGAAATAGAAAACTTTTATTCAATTTTGATTATAAATACTACTTATTTAAAGTCACTTTTTTAATTTACCACTGGTTTGGAAAAAACCTCCGACTTGAAGAGAACCAGCAAAATACCCAGTGGGTCCATTAAAAAAAAACCAGCTTACAATCATGTATGTCATAATTAACAACACAGAACAAATGAGATATAGCTTGGTAGTGATCACCTTACCCACGGGTTATTGTCAGCCATAAATTCCTTTATACTATAATAACCCCTTTTATACAAACTTAATTTAATAAATTTTTTGAACTTTGATGATTGACTGACATATATAGACAGGAGCGGTGTCAAGACCTTGTTTTAATATGTTTGTTTGATTAGTAAGTAGTATACATCATAATAAAATGACTAGGAATTAACATGCCTTATCTATGTTATTACACAATGATAAATAGTGAGGAAGTAAGATGTTTTAAACTGTTTGTGTAAGGAACACAGGCTTAATTTAAATGTATTTATTGCTAGCGATGCGCCTCAGCTGTGCACTGGAGAGTTGTGGATCTCGACAACAGTGCCATCTACCGGGTCCAAATGTAAATATAAACCATCTAGGGATCCATACAAATACACACAAACATTTTCATTGAAATTGGTTGGATGGTTTCTTATGTTTTGTCTATAACGGACATGGGTAGAAACATTTTAGTGTTAGATATCTTTCTGAAGGTTTTTTGAAAATAACTTGATGGTAACATGTACATTTATGATATTGTAAGCAATCAGAAGGCATTTTCAATTATAAGAGATATGATATAAGACTGTTGTCTTCAATATCCATACACTTTTTGTCTCTGCAAGCTTTCAGCCTGCAAGGCATACAGATTTGTTCTAAGCGATCCACCTGAAAAGAAGTT